CCTAAACTTTGTTGCACTGTGATATCGATTTTCATACATTTTTTTTTTCAATTTTTGTAGAATTCCTGCTCGTCACTGGTTGAAGCAGGAAATCTGAGAAGCAAGCAGAAATTAGTGGGCATCTAGACCTTTCAATATCAGCCACCAGGTCATCAAAATATTGAAAACTTCATTTGGAATTCTATGGGTGAGATTGAGAGTAGTGTATGTTTGATTGACTTTTTTACGAAAGAGAAGAGCAAGTTTCTGTCGACTTAAAAATGGTTAAAAGCGAGTATGTTCGTTTTTAGCGGGTCCTCGCGGTTTTCCACGGTTCCCGCGGAACTGATAAGAGAAAACAACTTGGTGTCTTCGGCAAAGTTGTAGCACTTGAGGTCTTCTATAACATCGCTGAAGACAGTTATCTCTTATCAGTTCCGCGAAAAGCGCGAAAAATGATAAGAAAAAAAAAGTTCTATATAAAATTTGCTTTTTTATGTGCGCGATTTGCGCGCAACTGATAAGAGATAACTGTCTTCAGCTTAGTCATAGAAGACCTCAAGTACTACAACTTTGCCGAAGACACCATGTTGTTATCTTTTATCAGTTGCGCGAAAACCATGAAGACCGCGGAGGCTAGACGGTACTACAACATACTCTACTTTAACGCCAACAGAATCATCAGAAAACATACTCGCCCTTTCAAAAATATAAATCGAAGAAAAAACATACTCCACTCTCAATCTCACCCATAGAATTGACTGTTGGCGTGAAACCTTCGAATATGCAAAAAATCGATTTTCATGGATTTTTTCGAAACTCTGGGCAATTACTGCTCGTCACCGGTTGCAGCACAAATTCTGCGGAGCGAGCAGTAATCAGCAGAAATTACGTAGAACACGAAACCGTGGTCGGATTTAAATTTTGGAACCGGAGGGGGGGGGGGGCTAGCGTCACGGAGCTCAAAAAATTCCCACTTTTCTTGCATTCTAACTATGATATTTGGATTTGTCGCGAAAAATTACATAAAAATAAGTTGATTTGAAACCGTTCCTACGCGATTTTGTCGCCTTCGTAGGTCAAAATTCGACCAAATATACATTTTTTGGCTACTTTTTTGCAAATACTCACCTCAGGACCCTCAAAATTTCCAAAATATATAGCTAAAAATGACTCTACTTAGTCTAATTTTTGACGAGAAATCCAAATCTGTTCATTAAATGCACATAAAATAGTGATTTGGTGGCTTGAGAGGCTTAAATATACTCGAAAATTAATAAAAAGTCGCCATTTTACGCTATATATAGCCGAACAAGTCCGTTTTTTCGAATTTGAAACGTCTGAAGACCTTTTTCTACCAAATTTTGACGTAAAATCGATTTCCGCCATCATTTTGTACAGATTCATCTGATTTTGGTGTCGTAAATTGCGTTTATTCTAAGCAAAATGAGAAAATTACGTTCATGAGCTTCGGTTTAACAGTGATATTACCTCACTGGGCAAATAATTTTTGCCTTTGCTGCCTTTATTCTTCTAGTGTGGTCCCTTACAAACATTTTGGGTACCTACATGATCAAATCGAGTGATGTTTTCACATATTTTTGGCCTCATATTAGCTTGGTTCAATAATTCACTCGAATTCTCAACGAGAGAGCTACTTATTGACTCTACAATTTTAGAATCGACAACGACTCCAATGCTTTATTTGCTTAATTCGGTCATCCGAATACTACGAGCAAATACTCCAAAGAAAAATCCAAAACGTTGTATCTCAATGGACAGAGCATCTGACCGGCAATCAGAATGCCCGCGTTTCGATTCCCGGCAATGGAAAGATGCCAATTTTTCCTCTTGTTCATCGCTTCAAATTAGTTTGGAAGGAAAGAAAAAATTGGATCTCACATACATTTTTGGATTGAACGTTTCCCTTCCACATCCAAAACTCCAACTGAACGTTCGCATGATTTTTGCGGATTGTGTTCCAGAATACCGGCACAGGTTATCTTTCAAGCTTGCATAACGTCATTATGCACTTTTTGTTATGCAGCTTCATCATGCACATTATTATTACAAATTACTTTTGTATGATTTGCCTCTCGTACATAATACACGAAATCAATAGAAAAGAGAAAGAAATAAAATCGTTCCAAATTAATTAATATAAATATTCCCCCCATATTTTGTTGCGTAAAATTTTAATCTATTGTTGTGGTTTATTCTTTCTTCACCATTAGATCCTAAAAACGTTTTAATTGTTGTACGAGGCCTTATACCCGGTGGAGCAGCAGAAGCAACTAATTTAATATTTCCTGGAGATCGAATTATTATGTGTGGTGAACACGATCTACAAGGTTGCAGCTTAGATGAAACAGTTTCTATTATGAAATCATTGCCATTGGGTGTTGTAAGGATTGGTTTGTGTCGACCATTGTCTACGTCTGATAATAACATATCATCATCTGAATCACCCACATAACCGAAAGTGTTGGAAATATTTTTCGAAATAAATATTTAACGCTTTTTTCGACGAAAGAATGACATTTGCAGGTATACCTCTGACCTTTGAAGGCAAAAAATATTGAAAAACTATCAACATTTCAGAATCAGCTTACAGATTTCGATTTCAATTTTAGTTCCGCTGGATCAGGCTATTACTTCAAGAATATCATTTATTTTAATTTGCACCATCAAGATCTAGCTGTATGACAACTATAAAAAATAGTACAAGAACAAATTCTCACCTGGTTGAAAATCCCGACTTTTTCGTAATAACAAAACTACGTAGGGCTTTTGATCTCGTATACTAGGAATAATTAATAATGAGAACAATAGGAATATAACAAACAGTTGAACTTGACTGTTGACACATTTTCAAAAAATAAAGGTCACCAAAAGCGCCACTCGTTTCAGTTGTGACCCAAGCAAAAGTCACCGTTAAATTTAGGCTGCATTATTACGTTCTTTTCTACCCTGTTGGTTGTTAAGATTTCAAAATTCAACATTAGACCAGAAGACACGAAGATATGCAAAATATACAACAGTTAAATTTAAGCAATGAAATTATGACAAATAAAGTAAAGTCAGACAATTTTTGTGAGCTAAAACTGGATTGTAATATACTTCAGGAATGCTCACAGAAAAATGGAAGTCGAAAATTTAACCTTACGAAGTCAATATAGGTGGCCCAATCCACGAAAAATACAGAACGCATTTATTTTAACCTTTTTGTGGTCGACATGCATATAAACGTTATAAGGCTGAGTCCAAATGCTCGGCTAAAAATCAGATCGTGTTATGAGCTGATGTCAGCAGCACTAACGTCAGCTGCTGATATCATCTGCTGACGAGTATGCGTTGCGTTGTTTTAACGCATTCGCAGAATAAAAACAAGATATTCTCGAAACATATCAATGAGATTTTTGCTTGCCTCTTCGTTTTTATACTGCAAATGCGTTAAAACAACGCAACGCATACTCGTCAGCAGCTGATATCAGCAGCTGACGTTAGTTAGTGCTGCTAACGTCAGCTCAAAACACGCTCTGGAAAATATTCACATCCGTCTTTCGTCGTATGTAGGTGGGTTTGACATGTCAGGTTATTTAATTCTGGGCTATTGCAAGCCACTAGACCCATTTTCACATATAGTTTGTAGCATTTGTGCGTGCACGTTATATTTTGAATGTACCAATCAGAACTAAATCCTATAGTTTCGAGATGTAACCTGTCAAATATGACGTCAATCCTCCAGTAATTTTGGGACACCCTTTATATGATCTGTTGTAAATAGCATACCCATAAAACGGTGATTTAGACAACGCGATTATCAAACCGATTGTTGCATATAACTAATTTGGAAAATCAAATGTTGACTAAAAAATGTCCTATGTACTGACAAACTAGCCCACAAATTACAAGGCAAACGAGCTAATGATCGTTAAAATCTAATTTCATAATTAAAAACTATCGTTGAAAACTAATTTTATCAATTAATAAAAAGAATTACATTCGTAATCCCGAACTTTTTCGTAATGTTTTTTTTATTTGCTTGAATTAAAAGCAATTTTTTTAAAGTGAAAATCGGTCATTTTTGTCGAAATTTCGACACTTTCGTATGGGAGGTACCTGTAAATTGACTCCGATTGGCTTCAAACTTTCTGACGTTCCATTATTTGGAGAAAAAATAGGTTCCTGAAAGTTTCGTGTTGATTGTATTTGCACAAGTTTGATTTTGGGTCCAAACAATTTTCCGAGGAAATTTCGACAAAAATTAAGAACCGAAAACCAAACTTGTGCGAATGCGTCGACGACGACGACGACTCGGCACACGAACGGAAAAGAGCCTCAAAAATGTGTTTTCTACGCGTTTCATGAGTTTTTATGATGATCTAAACCAATTTTGAGAAAAAGGTTTTCGGGACCAATTCCTATACTTTTTTCCCATAACACTACAGGATTTTCAACATTTTTGTGTTGGTATTTCTGGTATATATACGGAATTCACGGTAATCTGTGAATTTCGTAGTATATTGTCGGATCTCCGTTGGAATACATACACACAGCACGTCTGCGTTGACAGTTCAATTTTGACGGAGATCCGGTAATATAGTATGAAATTCACGGATTAATGTGAATTCCGTATATTACCAGAAATAGCAACACAAAAATGTTAAAAAAATTTGGCAGTGTATGTGTACACTGTACAGAATGGTATTGGGGTGAATGCTGGTGACGATGTCATCATTATGGATAACCGAAATTTTTTGCATTTTGGTGCTTGATGCACCGGTAAACCAAGCAGCTGAGAAAGACCTATGTATAATGTGCACAGATTTTCCTCGTGGAAAACGAACACATTTTTTTCGAGAAAACAATTGTAGAACTTCTCAACTTTAAAATGATATTTAATGACAAAATAAGAGAAATACAGTTCAAACTTATATTTTATGTTTTTCGTTAAATTTGCCGATCAAAATTTTCTTTTTTTTTACCAAGGAAGCAGCTGATATAAACGAAACAATGTGTAATTCGAATTGAGCCATTCATTTTGAAGAATTTTTGTATGGACTTTTTAAAAATAATTTTTCACATTTTTTCATCCGGCAAAAACGAGTACATTTTCATTAATTTCGAAAATGTTCGAGGATGCGAGGACCGCTATCAAAAATTCGGACTGTCCTCCTGAAACGAGGACGTCTGTGCAGCAAAGCGAAGCGTAATTTTCTCCAATAAAATCACTTATCTTGGTAGAAGATCAGTTTCGCTGCTAAAGTTTCACGGTGGTTGAACAGCATCGTTCCGAAGTTTACATTTGCGTTTGGTCGCCATGTCTTCGAGAAACATTGTTTCTTCTTATGCTGATACCTTGCTTCAGGAAGTGTGACTATCAATCAAATCGTAACACTATGAATCGAAGGGCTTGCGACGCCTGAAATACGGCAATATTTTCATATATTTCTATATTTCAGTCATATTCCGTCATATTTCAAATATTCGGAATATTTGATATATTTAAGGCATATTTAAGCCACATTTTGACGTTTTTTTGTATTACCCGATATTATTTTGACTATTTCAATTTTCAAATATATGAAATATTTGAAATATAGCCAAATATGTCAAACATACGAAATATCAAGATGCATTTTGTAAACAAATAATGCTTCAATATTTGAAATATTTGGCATATTTGAAGATATTTCATATATATTTGTTCGTCGCAAGCCCTTCGCTATGAATTGTATTGTTACAGAATTTTCTACTCTTTAAACTGGTGGTTAGACTTTTCATATGACAGGGAAGAAAAACACGTCACAATAAATCAAATAAACCCGTTATCACCCTATCGGTAGAAGTTAAAGTAGCTTCTGTAAAATAGACAAAATGTTTGAGCATATAATGAAAAGTTCCCGAAAAAAACACATTTAAAATCTTAAAATTCAACCACACATTTCATTATATTTTTTATTGCAACGAATGAAATTTTCCAAAAAAAATATCTCAAAAGAAATACGCTCGGTCAAATATTACGAACACATTGTGAATAAACTATGTCTACAAAGACCCAATTAATTTCAATTGCTTTCTCATCACGCATAATCAGTGAGTGCATATTGGATACACTTTTCCGTTCGTGTGCATAGATTCTGACACTAAATGCCATTTTTTCTAAACAGAAACTCGCTGAAATTGCGAGCAATCTGAAATACATATGTTCGGTGCATTGGAATCGGCATTTGAAATCGATTCGAAAATATGTTGGGCGGAGGAATAACCCCATTTAGGTCAAATTTCGACAACACGTGATTTTTGACCAAAATTGAAGGTAAATTGAAAAAACTAATGATGTCATTGGGTAGACAATCGAAAGTTTCTTTGAAGATCAGGGACGCATGGGCGGTCATTTCTCCCTCGCAGGACCTTTAAATCGCATGAGTATTTTTTTTTAATTTTCTTAGCCCTGGGTTTGCTCCGCCCTTCGCCCCACATATTTCCGAATCGATTTCCGATGCCAATTCCAATGCACCAAACAGATTTTGGATTGCTCGCAATTTCAGCGAGAAATCGATCTGTTTAGAAAGAATGGCATTTAGTGTCAGAATCTATGTTCGTGTGCCGTCGTCGTCGTTTGTGTGTATTAACACGATAACTTAGAAAATAATTGAGATAATCAAAATCTGGAAGTCCCAGAAGTTTTGTATCCGGAAAACTTAGTTTAAGTTCAAAGATGAGTCATTTTCGATTTGGCCCTGGGGTACTTGCCCTAAGGAAAACCTCCAGAAAATGACAATTTTGTATATGAGGTACCTGTAAATCAACTCTGATTGGCTTCAAACCTTCTGGGGTGTTTTTTTTTTGGAGAAAAAATAAGATTCTGAAAGTTTCGCGGTAATCGCAATTGCGCAAGTTTGATTTTTAGTCCTCAATTTTTGTCGAAATTTCCGTGGAAAAAATTGGGGACCAAAAACCAAACTTGTGCAAATGCGATCTACATGAAACTTCCAGAATCTTATTTTTTTTTTAATGAAACCTCAGAAAGTTTAATCCGATCTTCACTAAAAAATTGCCTTTAATTCAAGAAAATTGAAAAAAAAAAACAAAAGTGCGGACAACATTACGGAAAAGTACGGGATTACGAATGTAATTCTTTTTATTTATATAAATTTCATAGTCTACTTCAAAATTAAAACTGCTGTCGAATTGAAGAAATCATGGGTGCATATTGTTCTATTTTCATCAATTTGATGTAAATTAAAAGAATCTGGAAAAATACCGCAGCTAAATGCAAAATAAAAACGTTTCAAAATTTTAGCGGCCATATAATTTTATAGTATAAGCATTTGGGCTCAACCTGAAACTGGAATATATTTATACAAAAAATTCCCTCGAAATATTTTAGTTTCAAAGTGCAACATGAAATTTGTTCATATTAGGTTTACAACAACAACTCCATAAGAAAAAAATTTATGTTGCACTTTGAAACTAAATATTCCGAGGGATTTTTTTGTCGCAATGGCTCATATATGCAGTAGGATACATTTTTTATCTGAAATAGAATTGTAGCCAGATCACTGCGGAGAATGTGATGTTACTACTAGTATTCCGTGTAAATTGTTTTTTTTTAAATATTTCTTGAATTGTATTTTGAACTAAGGTTATCGTCGAAATGAATATTAAATTAATTTAAAATACATATTGCGATTTTTTTTGATCATTTCTATCCTATATTTGATGAGGTGATAAAATAACAATCCTCTATAGTCGGATAGTATAAGAACTTGAAACATTGTATGAAAATGGTGAGTTTTTTCTAGATAAATACAACGCGTATAGGCAATTAAGATTGACAACGAATAGCAAAATTTATTATGGGATTCAATTTTTACACCAAATGTAACAAATAGCCGCATTTTTTCGTTCTTCCCGTATAATTTTCAAATGGCGGATGATTGTGATCCGAGATGTTGTTTTTTTGTCAATTTGTTTATCGGTTAAACGGCAAATGTCTCCTTGTGTTATAAATTTGGAACCTAAAAAAGATTTACAATATTGAATATCATACGCTTCAACAAATCGTATACGAATGTATTATTTTTTTACTAAAAATTCCAAAATATCAATATTTTACAGTGTATGGAAAATATTTTGTTTGTTGAATTTCTCATCTAACAAACGCAATCAATTACCTTTAAAATATTCTTCTTGCGATTTGTATAAATTCCACAAATCGAGCTCAGCAGGGGTTACAGCCTCACGACGTTTCTTTACTAAAGTGTACTTCAACGTAAAACACCTATGAAAAAAAGATTTTTACTCTTAAAACGATTCACAACGTTTGAACGCTTTAACTTGAATTTCTACTAGAATTTTAGAAATTTCTATTTTATATTTTTTATTTCATTCGGTTCCCGTGGTTTTGTACTAACTTTATTATGACATTGTCCAGAAAAGCAAGGATATCTTCTAAATTTTCGCGACCTCGCATATACCTGAAATAATAACAAAAGACTTTAGTTTTGAAACACGTTATTTCCATAATAAAATAAATAACGCGATTGATATGACATTGATACCCATTTACATAGGTATAGTATCAATATTGACAGTTGCATAGTATTAGTTTTATCCCTTAGAATTATCATAATAATTTTGTGTAAAAATGGCATTACCCGGGTATCATCTTGAATGCCTCTGTACTAATAGTTTTTTCAAAGTCAGTGAATTGGAGCGCCAATGGTCGCATTCGCTTTGTAGCATACGGCGATTTTACATATTCAGCCAGTGACAGTCGGTCTCCTGATTTGAAATATAGAAGCCTACATCGTGTTGGTGTTGGTGTGTTACTTATTTCAGCTAAGACAGGTGAAAAATTGACTTTATCTTCTACGGATTGTCCGATTTGTGGTAATTGATGTGCGGTATCTGATGCTTTTGCTAGGGCATTTAACATTATAGTTGACAATTGCTGTGATGAATGGAGTAATTTTGTGCACTTTTGATGGTTTTCGGTTCGAAATTTTTCCAAAAGGTGCGTACATGATGACAAAAAGCCTTTGATTTGTTGGGCTTCATTTAATGTTTCACGTAAATTTGATATAATATCATTTTTCTTTCCGTAAATTACGCAAAAATACTCCAATTTGGAAATTTGTTGTAACCGATTTTTAAACAAAATTTCCAGATCCATTTCTAAACAGAAAAAAACACTATAACACTGTTTTGAATGCTCAAATGTTCGATTGGAGTGAAGTTGGTCTTCGTATAAACTGGTAATTTTGAGTGCGTTCACCTGATGAATCATTGTCAGCACAGAATAAAACTCAAAATTACATCTAGTTCTAAAATGTACAAATTTATTGAAAATAATATTATATTTTGACAGAACCGTAATATATCTTAATATCTACAATCTATTTAATATATTATCCACAAACAGCAATAGACTACCATTGCTTTGTTAAGACATAATATATCGTGAAATTCCAGAGATTTAACGTGCAGGTTTTGGCATTAGCTTGAATAGTGGCATTGTTAAACGTAAAAGCTTACGACGTATAGGAAACATTTCTTCCAATTAGAATGTAAATCATTTAGCTAGCGCACATTTCATACAAGAAATATAGTCGATGTTGAGAAAAATTTGAATCTACTAACTACTACCTGAATTCGTCCTTGCTTATTTTGGAAAAGTAGACAGTGTTTTTGTGCCAAATCAGTAGAATCGCATTGCATTCCCACAATCGTAATGAAAACGCAATAGATTTGTAGCAATTTGTGCATAGCATAACGCCTTTTTCGATATTCCATTTTATTATCATTTGGTGTTATAACGTTGCTCCCCTCTCAAAACATTGTTTCTTGAATTTTAAATAAGAAGAATAAACCCTAAAGGAAATTCTTCAAAACGGCAGGTGGGTCGAGATTTGATTTACAGTATTCAATTCAAACTCATGTAATTGAGAGTTTTTTTTGGAAAATAAACCATATGCAAATAACAGTAAAATTATATTTTTCAATAGTTTTGATTTCGTAGGCTTTTGCCCATTAACTATGTATTAACATACTCATATTTTAAAAAAAACCAATGCGTACAAATAATCTCAAAGCCATTGAAATACACTATAAAATCTCCATCTTGTAGCTGTTCCTATGTATAGTGTTAAACAATACAAAAATGAAGGTGAGCTTGGCAAATCATCTGCAAATGATAGTATCTACCTCGGTAGCAGAAAAATCAACTCAGTATTGTATAGTCATAAAAACTCAACCAAAAATAAACTGTATGACAAATCAAACGTATAAGATTTACATGTATCGATATAGTGTGTTTGTGTATTTGTGTATTTGTGTGCGTGTGTGTATCTTATTTAAAACTGGACCAATACCTGGATGACTAAATAAAAAAATCATCAATAATAGTACTGAATAGTGAAAATAGTGTAATTAATAGCATACTTTTTTATATTTATTCAAAGTATTAAAAATCAATCAATTTCTCGTAAACAAATAGTGAACACCTATGCCTATGTTGACTTATAGCTAAGCCATTGGAAAACAATGTTCACGCAAAATTACGGAGATACAATACAATAAAATAAAATGAATAAAATTAATATAATTTGCTAGATTATTGTACGTCGATAGTGCAAAATAAAGTAAAAATTATTAAAATATACATATGGTTTTTTTGGTTTCATTTAAAGATATTCTACTTTCAAGAATAGTCCCCTAATTTTGTCTATGACTGAAAAGTGAAACAATGAATATCTAAATAAAAACGGTATAAAAGTTAGTGTGTTAGAATAATTGAGATAGCAATCTACTGCCCAGGGGAGAACCACAAATGAAAAAATAGTAATGAAATTGTAACTCAAATCAATGGTATAATAAATACGACAGTAGTCTATTCATCATACACGCGTCAATAAGTAGGAAAACAGCATAGTTTTTATCCGTGAAGCATGCTTAGAGTTAAAATCACTGAGTGAAACATTTCATAGGCAACAGGTTTTTTAGTACGAATTCGAATTTTTGTGGGAGTGCAATGATGTTTATTTCGATTGCGTGATGTAAACAATTATTTCGCTATTTCATTAATCCAGAAATACAGATGATCTTTTCCACCTTATAAATAATGTATAAGCCAGGTTGAGCAACAATACGCTCATCATATAGATATGACATCATTGAATAAAGCTGTCAAATAATACGAAAACTGATAATGGACTTTGAAATAAATTCATATTATTAAATTCTATACATATAGAAATCAACAAATCATTATCAAATTCAATTGGTTTTATTAAAATTTATCTTGATTGAAAATGAATAGAGTTCTTGTTATAGATTTTAAGCTATTTTTACCAATATTGGAAATGTATTATTCGATTGTTGAAAATATACCTATAGTGGTTTTTATTTTGTATTTTAACTTAGTATTCTCAAAAATGGAAGGACCTGAAGTGACATTTTTATTCCAATTCGGCAATCTTCGTGATATGGTAACTGTTCCGGTATCATCTATTAATTTGAGGTCTTTGAAGGATTTGGCTTGTGATTTCATAAATTCTAAAGTGAGTATACTATAGTCTTTATTCTGTGATATAGAGGGCATTTGGTATTTTGTAGCATAAGAAATCTACTTGCGACCAATGTACAATGGAACACCGAGGCTCACTGTACACGACTTCTTACTCAAAGGAGCGATAAATAGAGATGCAAAAATTGTTCAACTCTAAGTGTTAGTCATAAATTGGATCTAGTACTGACTATGCTTTTCCACAAAATCAAAGGTCAGCGGACTAACAGTTCGTTAGATTATTTTCTTAAATTAAATATTGAATATGGTTGATTGCTGCTATTTCAATCATCATGAGTTTCCGGCATTCTGTTGTACGGCATCATTTACATTGTGAGTAGTTGGCAACAGCGCTAGATGGATCAGCAAACCGAAAAGCTGATAATGACCTGAATGAATAAAATAGTAATTCAAAGTATCGAGTATAAACACTTCTTCACAAAATTTTGATCACTTTTGTATATACCTCGGTACAAGATCAGTTTCGCTGCTGAGATGTCACGATGCCAGACCGCTTTGTGTGTGTCCTATGTCTGTGCAGCATCTTCCATTCCAACATTTACAGCAATTCGTTGCCATGTTTTGACGAAGCGTTTCTTCGTTGATACCAAACGGTCTGTTCTTGTTGGTATCAAATTTGCTGCCAAAGTCGATGTCAAAGTTGCTGCAATAGCAACACCCATGTCTCGCATCTGCCGCCATATTCGTTCAAATGCTACCTAAGTGCGCGTTTGCTTACATTGGTCACGATGGTTTGTGGCAAACCAACACTCGGATCTGGATGACAATCGTGGCATTGCTTGAATCGATCACTTCGAGTGTGTTATGAATATCGTTGGAAGCACCGGCCACACAATTGAGATGTCATGAACTCATTGACCATTCAAATAATGACATTGTCATGAATCAAAAAGGGGACAAACCCTCTCGACAGACACATACAGAGACGAACATTCCATTTTATTGTATTTACTTTATCTTCGAATATTATTTCGAACACTCGTACATTTATACTCTATTGCATGTACAAAAAGCTCGATACGATACATTTAACTTGAACCAAATTGTTATTTCTTAATTTCTTACCTCAACTTGTGCCCAATTTCTTTCTACCTTGTTGATTTGGTCGCCTCAATAAAATGCCAAACTAATGTCCATCACACTAGCCTATTGGAAGCAAAATCAATGTAAAAAAATGTATGATACGCTCAAGCGTCAAAGCATAACTCAAAACATTTTCGAAACCAAATTGTATTGTTTGATGGACGTGTAAAACCAAGGGGCAATCCACTCAAAAGTAATACATAATACCTGCGAAGTAATACGAAGTAATACTAGGTAAAATTGGTATTACTTTTGATAAAGTAATACTCCTTTTAAAAATAATACTATTGTTTGAAAAAAGTAATACTAAAGTAATACAAGGTAATATTTATATTAGTATTACTTAAAGTAATACTAATACACAGTATTACTTTTGAGTGGTTTGCCCCTCGTGTAAAACCGTATTTATACCGAGCATATCAAATGTATCCAGCTCTCGTCAGCACAGATAGTATTGGTATTTTCGGTGAATACGGCTTTGATTTAGACTGTTTAAGTGTGATGGAACTCAGCGAACACATTTGGTCGTTCGGAATTCCCCTATTTCGTAGTTCGTGTACGATGGCAAAGTTATATCATTTCGACGAAGCATCATTTGATTCGATGTTTTAACACTTTTGCTGGCGAATTTGCTAGTAGAATGGCATTTCATATTAACATAAATGTTTCCTTTCTATTGATGAGTGCGGTTGATAATTTATCGGAAAACTTTTTCATATTAATGTAAGCCTTGACTGAATCGTTGAAATGGTTGGTAACCACACAAAATGAAGAAAACGAAAATTCCGAAACGTCAAAATGCCGAAAAAAAAATTCCGAATCCAAAATTCCGAAAAAAAATCTCGAAAAAAAATTCCGAAAAAAAATCTCGAAAACCAAAATGCCGAATCCAAAATACCGAAAACCAAAAACGCAGAAAAATTAGTTCAAAGTCCCATTCCATAGAACCGGAGGGTAATACTATTGCTCGAAAATAGTATTCATTCGTCACCTATATCGCCAATACCTTGCAAATGATGCACAAATATACATATTTGTTGTTGTACTGAAGCGCTAGATGCACTGATAGTTTATCAGGGCGGCGACTCCGTAGATGGCTAATTAGTAGTATTTTCTGATAGCTATTAATTTGTAATTTATATGTTACTATCGCCCACTGCACAGAACATAATTGATAATTTTTGACCTACCCTTGTTGATCGTACCATTTTTATCACAGTCCGAAATAAAATTAAATAAAATTGGTAATGCCAACAGAGGGGATAGCGCAGAACGACCGCGTGCGAGTGAAGGTTCTCTGCTCTATCCTCTCCATCTAGCTATCAGATACTACTAATAAGCCATCTACAGAGTTGCCGCCCTGATAAACTATCCGAACTCACAATGTGCTGTGATCATATATTGCATTAATCATATATTGTCATATTTTTTCACGCTGGTGGCGCACCTAGCCCATGGATGGATGTACTATGGGTTAGCTGAACTATATAACTGAATGTCAAGTTAGTTGTGTATGAATTTTGACAGAACTTCTGCGGTCATCACCTAGTTGCGCCACATATCACATCGTTCCATAGACATTGTGAGTGCACCTATCAGTGCATCTAGCGCTTCAGTACAACAACAAATATGTATATTTGTGCATCATTTGCAAGGTATTGGCGATATAGGTGACGAATGAATACTATTTTCGAGCAATAGTATTACCCTCCGGTTCTATGGAATGGGACTTTGAACTAATTTTTCTGCGTTTTTGGTTTTCGGTATTTTGGATTCGGCATTTTGGTTTTCGAGATTTTTTTTCGGAATTTTTTTTCGAGATTTTTTTTCGGCGTTTTGACGTTTCGGAATTTTCGTTTTCTTCATTTTGTTGGGTAACCGAAATGGTTCCAAATATGCTCTCTCTATTCAAACCAGCATCGAAATCATTGGCGATTAAATTCGTTTCTCATTACATCGACGTCCGGCTTTTCTATTCCATACGTCTGGAATAATCGCTTGACGGTTGAATGCAATTTATATATTGGGTGTATAACTTTGCTTCCGCCGTTTTCCAACAGATGGCTCCAGCGGTAAGTGCTGGTGAAAAATATCAGCTCTAAAACGTCATACGGTAAGCTTGGGCATCTGTCAACAACACTGCATCGTTAGATTTGTGAATTTTTATCGACATCATATTTTTTTTCGTATTGTGACTGGCGATGAAAAATGGATCTACTACGATAATCCAAAGCGCAAAAAATCGTATGTCAAGCGCGGCCAACCAGCCAAATCAACGCCAAAGCGAAATATTCACGTTTCGAAGGTAATGCTCTCTATTTGGTGGGACCAGAAGGGAGTGGTGTACTGAGAGTTGCATCCAAGTGGTCAAACAATCAAAGGACCTCTCTACCGAACACAATTGATACGTTTGAAGCGAGCGTTGAAGGAAAAACGGCCAGAATGGGACACCAGACACGAGTCATTGATTTTCCACCATGACAATGCTCGGCCACATATTGAAGCATCGGTCAAAACCTACTTGGAAAATAGCGGATGGGAAATTTTGCCTCACCCGCCTTATAGCCCAGACCTTGCTCCTTCCGACTACCACTTATTTCGATCGATGCAGAACGCTCTTACCGGAATACGCTTCACTAGACGCCTCACTTCAGTGAGGAATCAAAAATTGGCTTGATCGAATTGTGGGGAAAAGTCATAGCTTCCGATGGACAGTACTTTGAATAAATTATATTGTACAAATTTTTCACAAAAAAGCTTCAAAAATTAAAAAAAAACGGCGGAAGCAAAGTTATACACCCAATATAATGAATACTACTGTGTCCAAAAAGTAAGATGACATTGCATTTAAAATTTAGCGCGCTGGGGAATTTGAAAAAATCCTTTTATTTTTAGGTTGGTAGGACTGTCTTTGACATCCCTGCCAAATTACACGTCAAAATATTCATTAGTGTTTGAGATACGCTTCGTTTTGTGGACTGCTAAAAGTGAATTTCTCGTTTTTTGCGATGTCGAAATTTGTTGATCAAAGAATTTGCATTAAATTTTGTTTGTGGAATCAATTTTCTGCTGCGGATTCGTTGAGGATGGTGCAGAAAGCCTTTGGTGATGAGGCTATGTCGAAAAAAAATGTTTACAAGTGGTATAGTGAGTTCCAAGCAGGCCGTGAATGTGTCGAAGACGAAGAGCGTGCTGGGCGACCATCAACCTCAACCGACGAAGCTCACGTCCAAAAAATTAAAGATTTGGTGTTGGAAAACCGTCGATTAACGATTAGAGACCTTGCTGATGATATTGGCATATCGAAAGGCTCAGTCAATACCATTTTGAAGGATGTTTTGGGCCTCAAACGCGTCAAATCTCGACTGGTACCGAAATCATTGAATTTTTTGGAAAAAAGGTGTCGAGTTGACGTGTGTGAAACAATGCTTTCTGACTACATTGACAAGACGAAATGCATGATCACTGGAGACGAGACTTGGATCTATGCTTACGACCCGGAAACAACCGACCAATCGAGCGAATATCGTGCCAAAGGTGAGCCGAGACCAAAAAAACCGCGCCAAAGTCGCTCAAAAATCAAGGTCATGTTGACTGTTTTCTTCGATTATCGGGGTGTTGTGCATTATGAGTTCCTTCCCCCGGGTCAAACAGTCAACAAGGAATATTATTTGAGTGTTATGCGTCGTTTGCGTAACGCTATCCGCCAAAAGAGGCCGGAATTGTGGAAAGACAACTCTTGGTTTTTGCACCATGATAATGCATCGTCTCACAATGCGATCATTCTTCGTGAACATTTCGCCAAAAACTCGACTCATATCGTTCCACAACCACCGTATTCACCTGATTTGGCACCGTGCGACTTCTGGCTGTTCAACAAGCTCAAAAGAC